CGTGGTATAATTCGGACTGAATATTAAAGGAGGTTATTATTCAGGTCATTACTGATGGATTTGGTCCTATGACATGGTGTCCGAAACTTTAGCGTTAAGGAGATATTTAGATTTTAATTTTTTTTAAATAATCCTTAATTTTTTGACATTTCATCGATTTTTTTGGGATTAGAACTCCTAGGGTCCGTTTTTTGATTTATTTAGTTAGAAGACACATCAATTAATAAATTGATTAATAAAAATCTTAACCCACTACTAACAAATGGAAAAAAAACTGCCCAAAAACGGTTAGATTGAAAAAAATAACTAAGTATTTCTAACTTTGAAGAGCTTTTTTTAAAAAATAATGTATGAAACTTTTTCCGCAAATAATTTAAAAAACTTTTACGTCTTTTTAAGTACCTTTACAAAGAGGTATAACAATAGCTATTAAATAGCCAAGAATTTGACCAATTGATAGTTAAGGTAGCAAAGGGTACATTTTTAGTTTAAAGTATAATTCTCTAAAATTTATAAATAAAACAAAATGAATCATGTTTTAAGATTTTTTATAATTCATTTTCGACATGGCCGTCTCTATTTATAACAAACATTCTCAGTCTTTTTCTTAAATTACTTTTAACGACTGAAGTTCGCAGGTTTAACAATAAAATAAAATTTTACACAATAAAATTTTAAAAATCTTCCAATGAAATAACCGAACGCTCAATATAAGTCTTTCGAAGGTAGCTCGACAATTTTAAATAAAAAATCATTATTCTGACGATGCAGACCTGAAAAGGCTGCGAAACGTCAATAAATAAATAAAGTTTCGTGCATTAACCCGTAAAAACTAGTTTTATTTAATGAGTGATGTGCGTGAAAACCTAAGAAACAGATATAATAGCAGTTTTCACTTTAAAATCCCAACCTTATGCGTGAGCACATTAATACACGCCAATACGAGACGCCCTTTAGAGCGGCCATACACGGACTGCTCGAAGAGTTAGCCAGTGATCAATTACACGGGCTGCTCGAGCAGTCAGAATCAACAGCTTGAAGCTAATATTCCACCGCGTCGCCAACCGCCCGAAGCAGTTGCAACAGCTCGAGCCCCCATGTATGTGTGTAGGACACGTAGCACACTGAAGTTCACTATACAATTTGAAGCAGCCCATCCCGACTGCTTTAAGCTGCCGGTGTATGGCCGCTCGTAGTTGCCCGCAGGTTCGAGAGGCCGAGGAGGCGGAGATCCTCTATCCAGAAAACTAATAGAGCCCCACGCCATTTCCCTGATTGAGGTACCTTAAAGCTGCTTTTCCAGGAAGATGAATAAAGGGATATGCATCGAAACTGTAAACGGGTGTGCAGATGAGCTTTGCTAGGATGTATAAAAAGGATGTGTGTGTGAAAAACAAAATGTATAGCGCACATCCCTCGAAGAAATCCCTCGCTTGTTTTGTATATACAAAAACCTCGTCCCGCTAAGCCGTTAGCACAAGATATATCTGCTGACCGAGGCGAGATGAATAAAGTAAATCTATTGGTTCTTTACAACAGCACCCCGGTCCAAACATTCTTAGCGCCCTAGACAAAAGACTGGAATAGCGGCTTTTTAAAGATTTTTTTTTCATTAGAAAGAAGGGGCAAGGTGGGAAAAGGGAGAATAACTCCTAAGAATACTCGCCGTGGTAGAAGCATAATTGAAGAAGCTCAAGCGTTTAGTCACCTCCTCGTCGCCAATGATACGGGTCGCTGATTTTTACACTTTCGGTGTAGTTCTTTGAATTGAATTTAATTCACTATCGAACTCCTGAAGTTGTCCTGAAAAGAAGGAAGGGATTCCCCCTTCTTTTCATTCCAAAAGCCATGAATGAATGAATGAATGAATGAATGAATGAATGAATGAATGAATGAATGAATGATTTATTTATTTTCTCTCACAAAGTCACAAAGTAACATTATAGTTAATTAAAGTTGCCATAAAGGCAAGTGAAACTAATATGTTCGCTACAAAAATGAAATTTGATATTGTAAGATTACAAGAGCAATCTTCTCGGTTCTTCGCAGAACCGTTTCAAGACTTCACCTGAAATTGCATGTAAATTATCTTGCACCATGTTTCGCATACACATGCCATTTAAGCGATTATTGAGCATCGCCGACCTCAACCTTTTTGACTCGCCGCAGTGTAGAGAAGGACCTCTATATTGCTCGTGGTGCAAGGCAGTAGCCAAAGAAATCAGTATGGATTCTTTGGTTGCAGGAAATAATTTTTCCGCCTTCTCTAACAACTCTGCAAAGGTCAGCTCTCTAGGCATACCCTCATCTTTCCATCGGCTTTAATATCGAAGGATTCTAAGCCATAGTAACTGCTGAAAGTTTGTGTTTTTCTGTTTGAATTCAGACAATGACATATTTAACATCGGATGCAGCATCATCAAACCGAAAGCAGGCATAATATGTTCATCGGAGAAACGATGTTCCAGTGCTGAATGCTGAGTAAAATAAGGTAATCCAAATACGGGATCAAGATCGATCACTTCCAAAAATCACATGGACCCCAGAAGGATGACTGGGCCGATGTTGTAGGCGAAAAGCAATGCGCGGGATATGTAAATCTGTTCCAATGACAGCTGCAGTTTCCGTTGAAGTGTCGAAGACATTTTGGAATTCCTCGTCCTCGTTGCTAAGATTCTCCTTTATTGAAGACACCATTCTTTATTTAAGCTTCATTCATGTATAGGTACATGTCGATTGTCTTTGATTGGCAATGGGTTCCAATATTCCTGAATATGTTCCTATCAAACGAGCAAATATAATTAATACTGACTTGGTAGCAGCACAATAAAACTGGTAAGCGCTTGTTCTCGCTGCAGCCTTCTGCAAAAATTGCGAAAAGTCTATTAAGAATGTCCTGAAAATGATCGGTAAAAATAGCAATACTTTTGTTTTTTGTTACCAGCGTGTCTCATATAGAGCTGAAATATTTGGCACGTACTTTCTCGGTAGAGAAGATTCTCGAAAAAAGTTGTTGACATGAAATTTCAATTTATGGTTCTGAAGCTGCTCGATCTACATGCCCATACCGGGACACGCCTATGCTTACCATGGCTTCAGAAGAAGAATCTCAAGATAATACAATTTTAACCAATCATCCAGCGTCTTATGACCAGGCCTTGCCAAAGTTGCTTAATTTGCATACGCAGACCTAATGCACTAAACACTGGGTCATCGATGTCCTTGCTCTTTAATTAAACAAGACCAAAAAAATACAAGCTTTCAACAGTAAATATCAATTATTTATTTACTAACATTATCTAAGCCACAAGTATACAATACATTACAATATCTTTAATACATTATAATTAAATATTTAACCCATCAATATGAACCACATTAGCAACAATATTGAGAAAAGTCCTTTCGAAATACATACATTTACTTACATCATGTCGTAGTGCCTTTTTAAAATATGTAAGTGTACACCAGTCTTTTTTATTTCAATACCCTATCTTATTCATGTTGAGTGGGTTATTGATATTTTAACTCATTAATAGCAGTTTACTAGTTCTAGTTGAACTTTTTGAAAAAGAAAAAGGCGTACCTATAAAGACTATGATTTCAGTTATAGTCACAACATATAAAAAGCCTTTTTATATTCATATTGCAAGCAATATAATAAATGTGAAACACAATTTATAAAAGGAATTATCTGTTTAATTTGTGCTCACAATGTCTACAATTCATCAGAATGGGACACTGTAGTGTAGTTATTGTTGGAAACTTAATAACTGTTTTACATCATACAGTATTTCTAGGTAAGTAAGAAGAATACTCACATGTATATTATTTAAAATATTTTTAAAACTTAAATTGCGTATTTTATCTAGGTAACTTAAAGATGCTATGTTGAACATAATCTGGCCATCTGGTAAATCACTAATTTCAATTGTAACAAAACTATAAATAGTTAATTTCCTTTTGTGGAGCTCAATTCATCAGAATAACTGATCGCCTGGTTTTAAAAGGAGCATACAAATTAAAACCAAATGCTTGCATGCAGAATCCACATTAAAATTCAGATAGAACACAATATAATATTTATTATATTTGTATGTTGAATGGAATAGCACATAAGAAACTGCAATCTGCACAAATGAAAGTTATTGAAAACATGCAAATCTCTCAAAATGATAGTGGTGTGGTGGATAGTGCAATTTTCTAAATAAATAAAGTTACTAATATGCCAAATTTAAAATACATTGTTAATCAATATAAGATTACTTACAGGATGTGTGCTTAAATATAAATAACACAAAGAAACAATAATAGAAGACTATCATTACAGTAAAATTATATATGTTCCTAGTTTCATTACGGAGCTACTGAGACTTCTTGATCATGTATCATCAACACAAAAGCATACTCCAATTTTTTTTTAATAACTACCAAGTTCTTTAATACTTGTAGTTAGCACATACAGGAATGTAATATAATATTTGGTATTGGTACAGGAATAAATAATATTTTTTTTGTTAAGAATACACAAGCCCATTGTTAATAAGTAGGTTTAAAATAGATACATATTTAAATATACTGACTGGTAAACTGTATTTTTTTTACATAATTACTTTAGAATGATAATAATTTTAATTTATCTTTCTTATACATATTATTATGAATCCAATATCTTACAATTGTGTCAATGTAGACATCTTTACATTGTTCTTAAACAACAGGAGAAAAAAATATTTATAATCCTTCTGGTGAATAAAGAATTTATAAGGCAAAATTAAAATTAAATAAGCATCATATGTAAATTTGTATCTATGAAGTTTTAGATTTATAAACTTACAAGTTCATTGTACAGACAACTTGTAACAATTACATAAGAAAATTAGTCAAAAAAATATAATTGCAACATCATCATTTAACAAAACATCCATTTTATATAACTATGACATGAACAAGCCTTTAATATTTAAGCAAAACAGGATTACATAGTTCATATTTATTTATGCACACATTATGAATTTATAGTTAAACTTTAACACCTCTTCACGAATCATTTTATTGATTAATAAAAGCTTAGTTTCAGGTTTATTTATTGCAATGTTTACGTTGGGAGATCAGTAATAGATTTTCAAAAGGCAGTAGGAAACAATCTACAGGAACATCCATAGTTTTGTCAATGTCATACTATATTTTCAGTATTCAGTGGGTAATCAATGTTAATGAGTGTTCAGTAACAATTATGGCCATTATGTAATTAGAATCATTATTTTGATTACTTCAGAAATTACAGCAACTGTTAGTTTTACGCGCTGTCTTATAAAACAGTTTACTATGCATTGTCAGACTCTCTGATTTAGCAACCATATCATCTAGCTTCTCCCCTCTTTCTAATACTGCTTTTATTGTGTCATGTAAAATAATTTTAGTTTCATCCAATTCACTCTGGATTTTCGTTAATGCATCAGCTTCTTTGGGATTCTGGTATTTGGCCAAATACTGTGGTAGCACAGGAAAGTCAACTGAGGATTCATCAGCAGTAGCCCAGATGCTGGCTGGTACAGTAGCAGTGAATTCATCAAGCATTTTTGTTATAAGAGTGTGGGCAACTCGGTTTGGATACTCATGATCAGATATCAGTACACCAGCGAGATTATCTGCTCTCACATACACATGTAACATGTATTCGCCTTCTTTGAATGACTGCCTTGAGGCCTGCTGTGTCCTCTCCACCATTGTTTTACTAACAAACATCATGAACTCTTGAACAGAACTTCTTTGAAAAAAACTGAAGCTTTGCAAGTCATAAGCTGACTTTAGCACTGTTCCACTGTTCACTCCTTTATAAAGGACGAGGAGAGCATACACTTTCACCATGATGCACTGTATTACAAAGGCTTTCTAATCAGGAAATTCCACCTTCCTTCCTTCCTCCTTTTCCTTCCTTTTTTCACACTGAAATCATAAAGTTATGATTAGAGACTTACTTAAAATGATATATTAACGTATGTATTAATAAGAATATTTCAAATATGTTTAAGAATATATAGTCTCATGTCATTTATATCATAAAACATTAAAAGCAATGTTATAGCCATGAAACAGTAAGAAAAATAAAAAGTAAGTGAAAGCAACTTCGAAATACATAATCGATGTAAGAAGTACCTACGTAGATTTTAACCTTTGGTTAGACAATTATTTGTGGTTGAAGAACTTTCACAGACTATAGGATAGAATATAATACAAAAAATTAGTGTGCAAACTTCGTTTAATCAAGTAATAAACTTATTCACAAAAAGACGACAAAACTACAATTCACAGTCGACGAAAACGTAAAATCTTAAAAATGACAATTGACATCTATCTTTAGTTTTTGTAACGTTCTGCCTTTTGAGGGAAGACAAAGAAAACAATTTCCATACAGCCTAGTCTTCAGCTTTTCGTTTTTTTTTTACATTAGAATGTGGGTGTAACGCATTCTAATTCTAATCTTTTGGCACGAAATGTATCGAGTCAGCTTTCTCGATAAGCTATTGAGAAGAAGTCAATACTACAATAAAGTTCTCAAGTCTACTTGACCGGAATAGCGTATATTTTAAAGATTCCATTAATTCTTCAGTTGTGCAGATGGTTGTTACACAAAATCACACCAATTTTATTTCACAATATCCACTATGAACGTAAGAAGAACCATGGCAACAAGGACTTCGCGCAGCCGAAATCCTTCACCTCCTTCTTGCGTAAGAGTATGGAAAAGGTTATTGATATGTGCATTAAAGAATGACCACTGCGAGAACACCTTACATACATAAAGCCACATGTTTGCCATAAGGGAAAGTCCACAGAAACTGGACTTTAATAGAATTAATGGACAGAATAAAAAGGGCTTTAAAAGACAAGCAAATATTTGCTTTCCTTGATATTGAAGGAGCTTTTGACAAGGTCACCACTAAAACACTTTCCAAAGGGAATTCCAAAGGGGATAAGCGAAAACGGGTTCGATAAAATAACGTCCCGTTGGATCCAGTCAATGCTCCTTAACAGAACTGTTAAAGTAAGCCTTCATGGAACAACAAAAGGCTTCAAGACAATGAGAGGCTTGTGGACAAGGGGACATTTTATCGCTTCTATTGTGGTCTCTTGCGGTTTATCAGCTACTAACTAACGCCTGTGATATAGGATTAGATATACAGGGATACGCGGAAGATCTAAACCCAAAAATCGCCCTGTGGATGTACACCGCCATCGTAAGTCTGGTGATAACATACACCTGCGTAATGAGGTGGAAAAAAGCCACTCAAACGACAGTTCTATGAACAAGCTAAATAACTTGCACAGAATAGCATGCCTTATGGCAACCGGTGCTATTTATTTAACGCCAGGTGCTGCACTTAATGCTTTGCTAAATATACCGAACCTTAATTTATTCATAAGCTTTTGCCCGCGACTTCGTCCGCGTTTTCGTCGTTTTTCGTAAAAAAAGTAGCATATGTCCTTCCTCAGGGTTCAGTGGTTTTGATGTGACAGACAGATTAACTTTCGTATTAATAGTAGGGAAATGTAATATGTCAATCCACAATACTGTTAAAAATTATCGCAATAAGAAACCGCAGAATATTATTATTAATAGCTGTGCCTCGAGACCATCAGCGTGTAATTCCTTGTATGTTATTATGTTAATGTATTGGTAATATGGTTTAGATCACTTTCACATGAGGCTTAAATACAATGAAAATACTTCAGCGCAAAGCTTCCGGGTAAACTACGTTGAAAGTTGACCCGTCCGGCACGTGAACATAAAGATTTCTAGAACTGCTAATCCGGGAAAGAGCGACATATAACTGACCATGTGAAAAACAACTGACACCGAGATCTACTCCAGCAACTCGAAAAGTCTGCCCTTGAGCCTTATTTATTGTCATTGCATAACACACCGATACTGGGAATTGCGTTCTTTTAAATTGGAATGGGAAATTATTTGGTATTATGGGAATTCTGGGAATAAAGATGGTTTCTCCTGCACCGCAACCTGTTAAAATTTGAGCCTCGATTACATTTTGTTGCAACTGGGTTACTTTAAGCCGAGTTCCATTGCAAAGTTGTGGTGGTCTTAAATTTCGGAGCAGAATAATCGGAATGCCAATTTTTAAACAAATTTCATGAGAAGGAAGTCCGGGCATATTTAAAGAATTTAAAAATTCTATCGGGTAATTAGTGGCTTCTTGTTCATCGACCATTCTATTTATTGAACTATAAACTTTGCTTTCCCCCTGGATATTCGACTGTATTTTATTATTAATCTCAGATGCCTGGTCATTGCGAGGAGTTAAAATGGACCTTTCGCATAGCCAAGAATTGTCCTTATTTAATATATTTGTTACGTCACCGTAAACTGACGATATAAGATGTTCTTGGGATTGTACTATACGACATAACTCAGGCGTCAGAATAAGTTTTTCTTGGTGTAGCAGTGGATAGGTACTGTAACGTCCTTGACGTTATAACCTCCTTGTTTAGGTAAACTCTTTGCTTTTGCAATGCCTACGGTTGGCAGTTATATTAAAAAGTTAATGTCATGATTTTAATTTGAAATAAGGAATCGTCAGAAGGTTCCATTCTAGATTAGATCTTCAGGCACCAAGAACTTCCTCTCGTATTTAGATAAAATTTCTTTATATTCGCCTGAATGATAAAAAGAAATAAATAATTTATCTCTACCAGTATCGTTTAATTAATAAGCACGTCCCTAGGTTCTATCCATTCTGGGTAGAACTCTATATGGTGGACGCGCCGCGTAGGCTTCAAGTACCGCGAGTGAAAAATAATTTTAAATCAAGAAAGAAGTAGTTTTATGAAGATGGAGACCAGGACCACATTCGACGGAAAAGGTGATGTAACCGATTTCTTTCGTCAATTTAATATCATCGCCGCTATCAATAATTTCAACGAGGATACAAAAAGAGTTGTGTTGTCGGCATATTTAAGTGGACCTGCATTGTTATTTTATAAAAATATTAATGAGTCTTGTGAGAATTTTCAGATTTTAGAAAAGAAAATTTGTGAGGAATTTCCATCATCGATGAATGCGTTGGAAAAATTTTTCTCACGAAGACAAGGCTTGTCAGAAGAGCCATTGACCTTTTTTTATGTATTGGATGAGCTGGCCACAAAAGCGGGAGCTGTCATCGATGACAAATGCTTCATTAGACAGTTCTTGAAAAATGCGAATTTAAATACAAAAAATCTTTTCGCATTTCAGTTATACAGTGATAAAACACATTTGAGAAATGTTTTACGACAAGCGCAGGACATTTTTGAGGACGAAAGCGTCGAAATTGGTTGGAATCTGCCGATCCAACCATCGTTTGCTCACTTCGAGGCGACGAAAATTTCGCATATAATAAGGCATGAAGAAGAACAGGAGAAGGAAATCAACCTTATTTCCTCCCAAAGTGTCCCTTCTTATCCCATTGTCCCTCCCGAACACATGATTCCCCGCACTTTTTGTTCCAGCAATATGAACAAAAAGAAAAAAACAAAGAAGAAGAAGCAAATGAAGAAATTTTTTTATGAAGAAGATTCAATGAAGATGGCTGATAAAGAAATTCACCATTCACAGCCGTCAGAAAACAACAGTCAGTATACAAGTGAGTCCAAACCATTAATTAATATAACGTGTCGTGATAAGAAGTTTGTAGGGCTCATTGATAGTGGTGCTGCAGTGTCTGTGGTGTCGAAGGACACAGTTAATAGAATTCATCAACGAATTGATGAAAGCGATATGAAGTTGAAAGCTGTCGATGGTAAAGAATTGTCTGTTATAGGGAAAGTTAACCTTAAATTATTGATAGACAATGTGTTATTTATTCACGATTTTCTTGTGGTAGAGAATATTAGGCATAACCTCATCTTAGGACAGGATTTCTTACTTCGAAATAATGCGATAGTAGACTTTTATAATGAACAATTAATAATCAAACATATTAAGTGCAAGTTTAAAAGACAATATACACAAAAGAATAATGAAAGGAATAGTGATAATTCGGTGTATGATGAAAATTTATATTATGCCGAATAGGTTGATAGTACTACAATAATAATGTGTTACTAATGAGATTTTATTTCAGTTTATTGTTTATATGAATGTTTTAAAGCAATGGTGGTATGTAAATAAGGTTCAATACAATAGTCATTTTAGAATTTTATTTCAAAAGCAAAGAGTTTACCTAAACAAGGAGGTTATAACGTCAAGGACGTTACAGTACCTTCACCAATCTTTAATAATATATCAGAAAATTCACGATCATCCGGGTTATCTCCAGTTCTCACTCGCATGTTTATAGTCAAATGCACCGATTGTATATCACGCCACAAATAAGAGCTTTTCAGGCAAGCCCTAACCTCATCAGCTCGGGTTCCCCGTGGTATTACCGGTAAGGTTTGTCGGAAATCACCACAAAATAAAACTGTGATACCGCCCATTGGTCGATCATTTTGTCTTATATCCCTTAAAGTTCTGTCTACCGCTTCTACTCCTTTTCGATGGGCCATCGTACATTCATCCCATATGATTAAATTACACTCACGTAATACCTTAGCTTTGTCGCTATTTCTTGAAATACTACAGGTTGGATTTTCCGTGCGATCTAAATCAATTGGTATTTTAAACATAGTGTGAGCAGTTCTTCCTCCTGGTAGCAATGTTGCAGCTATACCTGATGAAGCCACGGCAAGAGCAATTTTACGCTGATTTCGAACATAAGCTAATATTAATTTAGTCAAAAAGGTTTTCCCAGTTCCTCCAGGTGCATCTAAAAACCATATTGTTCCCAAATTATTCTGAACACTCTCGCACACGCGATCATAGACTGAACGTTGTTCTGCAGTCATCATTGGGACACCGTTTTCTAATGTTGCTAGCAGTTCCATTGAGCTGTAACCAATCTCTGCGCAATATTCCCTATTGGTAACCTATCCGACTGAGGTTGGTGTTGGCAAACCATATTCACAGAGTGATGTACCGCCAGTTGCTGTTAAGTCTTCCTGAAGAGCTAATAAGCACTGATTTATGGCAAGATCTCGGAAATTATTATTAGTTGCGCCTTCATCATTGTGAGATATATTCCGAAGAAAGTCTTCTGCAAATTTTTCTTTATATTTTTCCCATAATTGGACAGGATCTGACAAATGACAAAATGTGAGCAATGTTACAAATAAATGACGTAACCGTTGTGGATTATCACTAACACAGGATTCTGCTAAAGCGTCATCCCAATGCTGATCATTTTCAAGCAAACGACGCGCTTGGCAAGCTGCTTGATAAGTTG